CAACAGTATTAAACTCGCGCTTTTTCCACAGTATTAAACTTGGGCTTTTACCACAGTATAACTTTCCCACAGTATTAATCTCGCGCTTTTTCCACAGTATTATTCTCGTACTTTTTTCACAGTATTATTCTCGTGCTTGTACCACAGTATTAAACTCGCGCTTTTTCCACAGTATTAATCTCGCGCTTTTTCCACTGTATTAATCTCGTGCTTTTACCGCATTATTAAACTTGCGTTTTTTTCTCAAAATTAATCTCGTGCTTTTGCCACATTATTAATCTCGCGTTTTTTCCACAGTGTTAATCTCGTGCTTTTTTCACAGCATTAAACTATCCCTTTTTTCACAGTATTAATCTCGCGCTTTTTTCACAGCATTAAACTAGCTTTTTTTCCACAGAATTAAACTTGCGCTTTTTTTCACAGTATTAATCTCGGGCTTTTTTCACAGCATTAAACTAGCTTTTTTTCCACAGAATTAAACTTGCGTTTTTTCCACAGTATTAATCTCGCGCTTTTCCCACAGTATTAATCTCGCGCGTTTTCCACAGCATTAAACTAGCGCTTTTTCTACAGTATTAATTTCGTGCTTTTACCACATTTTTAAACGAGCTTTTTTTTTACAGTAATAATCTGGTGCCTTTTCCACAGTAGTAAACTTGCGCTTTTTCCACAGTATTCAACGTACGCTTTTTCCACAGTATTAAACTCACGCTCGTTCCACAGTATTAATCTCGCGTTTCTTCCACAATATTTACTTAAACTCGCTCTCTTACCACAATATTAATTTTGCGCATTTACCACAGTATTAAACTCGCGCTTTTACCACAGTGTCGATTTGCTTATTTTCCACAATGTTAAATTCGCGGTCTTTCCACGATATTAAACTTGGGCAATTTGTAAAGTCATATAGGTAAGACAATTTCCACAGTTTTAAATTTGCTAAGTCTTCTAATTATTTTAACACGTTTCTTTATCTAGGGTTTTATTTTTGCGAAATTCCTTAAGGTTTTTAACTAGCTCTTTTTCAGTAGATTTAAACTCGGACAGTCTTTACAGTATTTTAACCCTCGCAATTTCCACGGTGTTTACGAGAAAATTCTAAAAGTAGTTATCTTGCGCCCTTTACCCACAGCATTGTAGTATTTTATCTCATCCAATTTTCACAGTATTAAACTTACGATTTGCTAAGGTGTTTTATCTAGCCCAATTCAGAAAGTGCTAAATTAACCCAAACAAATATTATAATATTAAGCTGGCGCAATTTTTCAAACTATTTTACCCTCCGTAATTTCCACTTTTAAACATATTTTTCAGCGGATATATCTTACGCAATTTAATAGCTTGAAACCAATCACAAGTCATAAATATGCATAGTTACCTACCCACAGCAAATGAATGGAGGAAGACAAGATAAAATATGATATTATTAATCTTGACTTTACAAGACAGATTTAGATCAGTAATATGTTGTAGCTTGGAAAGTAGTGAGTTTAACGCTGTACCTCCACTTGCTCTGATTCGAAGGACGACAGAAAACAGTTCAATCTTGGATAATTTATGTGTTAACAAAACGAGTTTTATCGAGAAACGAGAGCAGGAAGTACAGACTTGAAGAGTTTTAAACAATCAATAAACTGAATGGATTTATTTAAGAATTCGTTTATTCTTCGGGTTCATATAAACCTTTCCGGCTATAGCGAAATGAAAAGCCCTCGCTTAATCTCAAATAAACGAAAACGTGGCGACTACTTCGCTTTCTTTCATGTTAACTAGCCGTGTCTTTCACGTTGCTTTGACATAGCGCATAATTTTTGTTTTGACCACCAGAAGAAAGGTTGTTTCCGCATGGATTGTAAAACAGAAAAGAAACTGTCGCAATACAGTGGCAACTGGATGAATTAACTGAATCTGCATAACGCTAAGTGCTTTCACTCTCTCGATCTAGATTTTGGAGTTTAAGGCGAATGTCCATAAGCAAATGCTGAATTTTAAGGAAACGCTGTTCCTCGCAATTGAAATAAAAGCGTCATCTCACGTATATTTATTAATTATAACGTATAAGCTGGGAGTTTAATTCCTCAATTCTTAAAGTTGTTTATCTCCGCAATTTTCAAAGTATCCTGCGCTATCTTGACAGTAATTGATAAACTCGCAAAATGTCCAATTGTTTTAACTCGCTCAATTCAATTGGTATTTAAACGGCGTGTGAATTTTCCACAATATTTTAACTCGCGCAATTTCCGAAGAACTTAAACTCACCAAATTTCCAAAGTAATTTAACTCTCGTAATTTCTGTAGTGTTAAGCTCACCCAATTCTTTCATGAATAAAGCCGCGCAATTCACAGTATCAAGAATCTCCACAATATCCTATTTATGTGTCTCGCCAACTTTCCACAGTATTAACCCGCGCAATTTTCAAATTATTTTGTTTCATTCAATTTCTACATCATTCAACTCGTAAAATTGTCAAAGTGTTTTAATCGCAATTTGCCAACTCTCGAATTCGCAGAAAATTTCTAAAGTACTTCAACTGGCGCAGTTGCCAAATTCATCAACTCATTCAGTTTCAAAAGTATTTTAACCGGCACATTTTCTCACAGTAATAAATTTGCCAAATGACACATTGTTAAGTTCTCGCGATTTGCTCATTACTAAATCTGCGCAATATCCATAAATAAAACGAGGACAATCTCTGAAGCATTTTATACATTGATATGTCGCGCGAATTCAACATTAATAATGTGCTTTCCCCTCAGTATTAAACTCGCGTAATTTCTGATGCATTTTAACGAGTGCATTTTGCACAGTATTAGCTCTATCTCACGTAATTTCAACAGTATCAATATCGCAAATTTCCTTAGGCGTCATCGCTCTTTTACCTGTCTAGTGCAATTTCCACAGTATTAAATTTTAACTCGCTCTTTTTCTACAGTGTAACATTCGCGAGATTTATAAACTAATTAACCTAGCAAAATTTCTAATGCCATACATATTTCATCTCCCGCAATTTCCACCGTATAAAATTTGCGAAACTACTGAAGTATTTTAACTCGCGCTTTTTTCCACAGTGTTAAACACGGGCAGTTTCTGTAGTGGTTTATCTCGAGCTTCTTTCAAAGTATTAACTCGCGATTCTTCGGAAGTCTTTTAACTAGCGCAATTCGCGTAGCACTAAACTATAAAAACAACTATATAAAAATAAAGTTACTTACTTACTTACTTAAACTCACGCATTTATTATAGTAAATATAATAAATATAATAAGCTGGCGCAATTTTTCAAAGTATTTTAACGTCCGTAACTTCGGTCCAAGTTTTCAATTCTTCAGCTCGCGTACTTTTTACAGTCTTTATAGATATCTCACACAATTTAGCATCTTGAAACCCAATATAGTAAATCTACACAGTTACCTGATATACCCGCGGCAAAGGAATTGAAGAAGACAAGATAAAATATGATATTTTTCATCTTGACAGCAGAAGACAGCTTCAGAACAGTTAGATGCTGTAGCTTGGAAAGTAGAGTGTTTTTCTCTGTGCCCTCACTTGCTCTGATCCGAAGGACGACAGAAAACAATACAATCTGGGATAATTTATGCGTTAAACAAAACGGGTTTTATCGAGAAACGAGAGCAGGAAGTACAGACGTGAAAAGTTGCAAACAATCAATAAACTATTTAAGAATTCGTTTTATTCTATAGGTTCGTTTAAATCCTTTGCTATTGCGAAATGCAGAGCCCTCGCTTGAGCTAGTAGTTATCTATCTCGAATAAGCGAAAAAATTAGAAACTACTTCACTTCTTTGCATGTTAACTAGCTATTTTTTATGTTTTGTCTTTCACGGTGCTTTCACAAAGCTCATAATTTTTGTTTTGACTAAAAGAAGAAAAGTTGTTTCCGCATGAGCTGTAAAACAGAAAAGAAATTGTCGCAATAAGTGGCAACTATATCGACCAGAATCTACATAACGTTAAGTGCTTTCACTCTCTCGATCTAGATTTTGGCATTCAAAGATCCTTAGTGTTTATTACCGGCGAGTTTAGGCCACATGTCCATGAGCAAACGCTGATTATTAAGGAAACTCATTTCCATGCAATTAAAGTATAAGATTCC